GGAAAAAGGGAGAGAAGAGAAAAAAAAATGAGAAAAGAAAGAGGTTACGTGGGCATATTAAACACTCGTTTACCACTCTACAGTTCTGGCGGCTCAAACCTGGATACCCTGGTTTTCACAGGGTGCAGAGGCCTAACAAAAGCTGGGTTAGTTCAAAGGTGGCGTGGTGCTGCGGCCGCCCGGGGACCAGGCGGTGTGTCCCCTGCACTCTCTGCTCAGCTCCACGCCCCAGCCCAGCACAGCTGGGCAGAGCTGAGGTAAATGGAAAAAAAGGAGGAGAAGCTCCCACTTTTTTTCCCCACAGGACGACGGCAGGTTCAATAAAAGGCATGACTGGAGGCGGGTAAAAACAGGAAATTAAAAAAATAAATAAAAGAAGGTAAACAGAGAGAGTGAGAGAGAGAGAAACAGAGGAGGCAGAGGAGGAGGAAGGAGGAGGTTTCCTGGGGACGGCAGGGTAATACTCACATTAGTCTCACTGAGAATGACGTCAATTATGCTGCCAATTACGATGAGGAAGTCAAAAACATTCCAGGGATCACTAAAGTAACCCTACATAAGGGAGGGCAGGCAGGATGGGGATTAAAAAGGAATATTAGACAGACAAGCACAGAGCAACACCACCATCAGAATCATCGTCCAGGCACCTCCGTGTTGCCTCTGGAGTTCCAGACGCCCTCACCATGGCCGGGAGCCCAGGAGTCCAGGAGCCCCGGAGGCTGAGCAGGGAGGGAGCAGCAGGGAGGCGACATTCTAACCCTACTGCCAGAGTTCCCTCGGTCACATGGCCAGCGTCCTACAGATCCACCCACCCTACCCCTCCTCCACAGAGGCCCTGTCCACCTTCCACCAGGGGCAGGGGGAGGTGTGGGGGCGGGGTGGTGCAAGTCGCCAGGGGGCAGGCTGTGGCTACTACACTCTCTTTTCAGTCCACGCTCAGCATGTCCTGCATCCCCAGTCCTCTTCCAGCAGAAAGGCCTATCTAGAGGGAGGGAACACAGGGGTGTCACCCCTCAGAGGGTACTGGGCTCAGTCCTACGGGTGAAGCTGGTGATAAAAAAGCCTTTGAAAACCACAGCCATCAGTGTGGGCCTCAGGGTGGCAGGCTGTATAATATATAAACTCACATAAAACTCAGAAATAAAAGAAGGACCAAATTATTAAAACGGGATCCATATTAAGTGCAACTCTTGCAGATCGAATCAGGGTAACCCTAGTTCCTGCACTGGACACATCCCAGCGTTTCCAGGGGCAGTTCCAACCCTGGCAAAGACTTTCCTAAGGGAAAGGAGGCAGAGGCAAGGTTGGGCTCTTAGTCTGTGAGTGGGTATGTAGCTCTAGACAGGGCTTTCTGAGGCTTCCTAAGCAGGAAGCTTCCTTCATGATCGTTTTAAGGTAGGGTCCTGCTGAATGCAAAAGGCACCCAGAGGGCGTGCGGTGATCAAAGCCTTTCCTGAGGATGGGTTTGCTAGGAATAAGCTGGTGGGCGGGGGGAGGCTGGTTGCCTAGTAGAGGATGAAGGCAGTATTGCCCTGATGGAGAGATTCTGGCACAGACAGGGAAGACCAGTGTCCTGACTTCATGATGAGGAAGTCAAAAACATTCCAGGGATCACTAAAGTAACCCTACATAAGGGAGGGCAAGTAGGATTTTATTTATTTTTCACCATATTTGGAGAAGAGAAGAGATGAATGTTCTTAAAAGACTTTTTTCATGTACTTGGACAACTGGTCAATCAAGAAATGGGCTGTCCCAGAGGCCCCATGGGACCCCAGGTGTCCTGGATGGGTGGACTGTTTAGCAGATGGATTTCTTGGGTCTGGGAGGTGTAGGAGCCTGCAGAGCAATGTTCTGTGACCGCATACACCCCCAGGTACAAGCAGTCATATTCCCATGGGCAGAGGGGGAAGAATCTACTACTACAGATTTGTCTTCTTTAAGAAGAAACATTTACGCCTTTAGTTTAGAAATGGTCTGCAATGGGGACAAGACAGGGCTGGACACATTTGTTTGGCGGGACCAGCATTTTCCTGCCCTCTGGGCTTCCAGGAGGTGGAATTTTAGAGGTCAGAGTGAGGTAGGAAAGCATGAAGCGTCACCTGAGAGGTTCCCAGATCTCTCCTGAGCTTACTTGAAGGCTGCCAACTTTGCCTTTTTTTACTCACAAAGCCAAGAATCTGCTTTCTTCCCTTTCCTCCTGGCTCTATCCAGCTCCCTTAACTTCCCACTTCCCAGCCATGCCCTCTGTCCAGAGGGACCGAAAGACGTGCTGTCCTAAGGCTGTTATTCTTAGTGAGGGAGGTCAGGTCACGGGGAAAGGGGCCTTTCAGTTCCCAGGCATTTCTGCCAAAAGAAAACAGAAACGCCACTGTGGAGACTCTGGACAGCCAGGACAGCCAGGACTGGGGAAGCAGAGATCAGTTGACCAGGGCGTGGGTGAGGTGAGGGTCAGCTTCAAATCAAGAATGTCTTGTTGGCTTCCCAGGGTATTTTTCTGAATATAGTGGAGCCTGTGAGGCAGAGCGGCTTCTCTCTTCCATTTAAGTCACATGCTATGAGCAGGAAATAACCAATTCCTCCCAGGTTCTCAGAGATCATTCACAGGGCAAAAGGAGAATGGTGATTTTGCGGGGAGGGAAGGAGTGAAGACCCCAAATGAACTATGACTATGCATAAATCTTAAAACTGATTTTGGAAAAGACTGGGCCACTCTCTCGATATGAATACCATCTTTGTGGGTAGAGCTATTTCAGGCGGGAAGGGCAGGGAAGTCAAGGAAGAGAAAGGAGAAACAAGAACAAGAACAGAATCCGGGAATTGTCTGCATCAGCCTAGAAAATGGGCAAGAAAACATTATTTGGGTGTGGGGGCAGGAGAGAGAGGAAGATATGAGTGTCAGTGCTGAAGAGAGGAGGGTGAGTTGGAATCTTCATCGGAGAGACCTGAAACAAAATGGGTAAGCTGGCCTTGGTCTGCAACACCTCTGAGATGGAGAAAGGAAAAGGAAGGAATGGACAGAGCAGAGCAAAGGTTTGGTGTTGAAAACCAGAGAAACACACACAGTTAATCAGCAGGCGCACCAAGGTGAAGGGCTGAGACCTTAAGGAGCCCTGTCAGCCACCTGGCTATGCACCCCTGGTCACCCTTTTCCCGGATTTCTTTGCATATATACGTGCATACAGAAGGAAAGCACAAGACAGGCAACTCTTTCTTGACCACAGCCTCCTCTGCCCACGGCTGCACGCCGGCTCCCACTGGATTGGCACTGGCTGGGCTCTGTTGGAGTTAAGGCCTGGTGCCTCACACTTGTCCTCAGCAGGCTATGCTACTGCAGGCTTTAGACTGGCATCTCTCTTTGGTGGCACACTACCTAGGGGGCTGCAGAAACCAGCCAGGTCCCTTGTTGCCAAGAGCTCCTGTGCACACAGCCCTGGGGTATTTACACAGAGCTGAATGCAGTGGGTGAGGGCACATGTCTAGGGGGCAAACAGGGTCCCTTTAAGAAGGCAGCTCTTCACCCTGACCCATCCTCTCACCCTCCTGCCCTTGGTGCCCGGAGCCCCTCCGTCCTCCAGCTGGGCCTGAAGACAGTTTCAGGGCCAGCTTTCAGGCCTCTGTCCCCATTGTCCCTTTGTGCCCTCCTCCCACTATTTCAACAGCCCCCTCCTCCCACCTGGACCACACCTTGCCCAGAAACAAGGCCCAGGTCCTCCTTGCTGGTCCCCACGTCCCCAGGTGGTTGGGTCCCAGGAGGAATATTTTTCCCAACAGTCTCTGGAGTGGAAGGCTTTGACACTCGGTCTCATCTCTCTTCTGTCTGTTGTTGCCCACTCCCTCAGTTGCTGGAAACCACTGGTAACAGGGGTTTTAAGGATGTAATGGAGAAGGGAGGTTGGGGGAAAATCATATACTTCTTACAAAATCAGTCTGACCTGGAGCCTGGTTATATCTGCTGCCCCTTATTTCTCTGATGACTGCGCCCCAAATGGTTGAGAAGTAAGGGGTGGGAGAAAGGGTTTTCCTGGCTCTCTTTGAAGTGGCAAACCAAACCTCTTACTGTCCAGCTCCTCAGAGCCACCCAGGGCGCGCTCCCTGGAAGGGAAAGTGTTTTTGCAGGTGGGAGCCTTGCCCTCGCCATCCCCCAGTCCTACAGGTTGAGTGGATTCCCCACTTCCAACTCCCCACTCTGGGGATGTGATCAGAAGATGGGCCTCCCCTCCAGCCAACCCAGGGCAGGTCCCGTGTGCACCCCAGGCTCCCAGTACCCAGGCCTGAGTGCCACAGCACCTCCACTCACTGACAGGCATGGGCTGAGAAAATGGACACCAAATTGATATTGACATCAGGAAATCATTGCTGGGAAGGAACAAGTGCTGCAGAAGCATCACAGGATGCATTTCACATGGACAGGAATTTTGGATTTTCTTCCAGTTTGGTTATCCATGCCCTGATTTGGCTCCATCATTGGAGATATACCACATTGAAAAAGGCAGCATAGTGGTTAAAAGCATGATCTCTGGAGGCAGATCTGGGTTCAAACACCACCTCTGCCACTGACTAGCTGGATAGCCTTGAGCAAATAACTTCCCCATGCCACTGTTTCCCCACTTAAAACATGGGATAAAGCACAGTGTTGAAATGAGGATGAAAGGAGACCATGTATCCAAAGCACTTAGAACCTGCCATCTCTTCTGCTCCCACCCACAAAGCACGTGTGTCCTGGCCTTTCATTGCTTTCTTCTGGTCCCAGATACTGTGTCTTAACTGTGGGACCACGGTCCAGTGATACTTCCTGGACTATCAAATGCCTACCTCCCAGGTCCTCTCCTTTTTGGAGACAAGACAGGCTCATCTCCCAATAGGAAGAGGGATGAGATGACTATCTATGCAGGAGACTGTGGGCCTCTTGCCAACTGGAGGCGCGCTTCCCAAGCCCTCTGTTTGCAGTCGCTAAAACCCAAAAAGTAACCAGAGTCCAGTGTCCAGAGGCCTCCACCGAATTACAGCTTCAAATGCAATTTCAAGAATCTCATCATCACTGCTGTCATCTTTATCCTAGCTGGCTGGAGACTGAGCTTTCTGTAAGGGAGGTAATCATAATCTGATTATAATCCAAACAAGCACCAGCCCCATGTCCTCACATAGGGTTAATATGAGGACAAATACTTAGAAAAGTATGTTGAAAAAATCCAAAAGATGTCTATTCTTTATACTCCTCAGAAATAGGTGTTCTGGATGTGTGAACGTTCCAGATAGAGGATGCCTGACCCTCTGATGACCAAAATCCTTGAATTTTTACCTTTTAAAAAAGATGTTCATTTTAAAGACAGCTGTTGCCCCAGCCGGAGTGCAGTGGTATGATCATGGCTCACTGTGGTCTCAAACCCCTCAGCCTCCCAAGTACTGTGCCCTCCAATTGTTTAATTTTTTTGTACAGATGGGGACTTCCTATGTTGCCCAGGCTGGTCTGGAACTCCTGGCCTCAAGTGATCCTCCTGTCTCCACCCTCCGGAGTGTCAGGATTATGGCATGAGCCACCACGTGCGGCTGGC